TAAGATGTTTTATCTTGAAGCCCCATCCATGTTTCTCAGTTATTTTCCTTTTATCATGTTGTTGGATTCAAACAAAAAATAGTTTAGGAGGACATCTGCTTTAAATTACATCCTGTTTTAAAGGCTGTGCTTCATAAACAGAATAAAAAAAGCAGAAGGACAGCATAAACTTTCACAAGTTAAAGACCACACTTAATCATCCGCTTATGAACTATTAGGAAACAGAAGGACAAATTTCATGGAGTCTGGCGATGCCACATCCTGATTTCACAGTATGCTAAATTTAGGAGTAACAAATAAAATAATTTGTAGGAACTAATGAACAAGTGGTCAGGAATCACTGTGTTGGAATGGTTCATGTACTATATCTCAATGAGATGTAGAACACAAAGGAACACAAATTATCCATTAATCAAGATTACTTATATTCTCATATCCTAGGTTGGCTTCCTCTGTTGGGGTTAGTGTATTCTCACCCTTGAAGAGGATCGTGATTCAGTACATAAAGTTCTATTGTTTCCACTGATATTTCCATTCACAACAAGGTTCTCAGGCCAAGTTTGTCAGTCATAACACGACTGACATTCTGGGCGGGGTAATTCCTTGCTGTGAGGAGCTGTGTTAGTATTAGAGGAAGCTCAGCAGCATCCCTGGCCTCTACCCACTAGATGCCAGTAGAACACACATCCAACCCTCTTGCCACCCCTCAGGCTGAGACAAAAATTGTCTCAGATTTTGCCAGCTGTCCCCTAGGGGGCAAAATTATCTCCAGCTGAAAACTTCTGTTCTTACCTTTGGATATCAGAGAATATGAATTTTGCTGTTGCTGGTTGTTGACTTTCTAGATTAGGAAACTGCTTACTGGCATGTTTTAGTATCTTATGCAGAGAAGAGAAAAAAAATCAAGTTTACTAGTGACCTAGCTTATTTTATCGAGTTCTGTTTGTCCTAAAATAATGTAATTAAATTAGGACCTTAACGTTTTCCTCAAAATTGGGAAAAAATAAGTCTTGAAGCATGACATTTCAAGTTTAATTATATTGCTACAAAAATGTCCAATGAACAGATATGAATTTACCAAAATAAGATGATTTCTTACAGATATTGCTGCAAAATTTTGCAAAAGGGCATTAACTAATTTTGGATCACCTACAATTAATACCCCCCAAAAAATGGGGCAGAGGAAACTAATAACCTAGGAAATGCATAATGCCTCTAGAATGTACCTGAACACCTTATAATAATATCACTTTGTTCCCGTTTATGGATATCTCAGAACACATAATCAGTGTATTTAAATTTAGAATTTTATACTTTCTCCTATGGCACGCACACATGGCACTCTATCGCTCAGTGGAAACATTGCAATATAAAACTATCTTTTTAAGAATACAGTGGCAGTTAAATAATTTAATCAGGTTGAAAAGATTTTTAAAAGGTTCCTTTTCTCAGGTTGTTGTTGAACAAGGAAGGTATACTTACTGCTACTGCCAACACCATAAAATCGTGAGAAGAAGGACCTGGTTGATACAATGGAGATTTGCTCCCCAGTGATGATGAATTAGCAGGGAGTGGATAAGGTGCCTACATGACCTATGACTAGTTAGCAAAATGTTTACATCAGAAATAAAAGACTCTGTCAGTGGAACAGTTACAGGTCATTAGCAATGACAAATGGAAAACCTGTCTGACCCTGGCATAGCATTGACTAAAGAGACCCACTAGCCCTGGGAAACAAGTGTAAATCCCATAGTCTTTCAAATAAAACTGATGCGTAGTTAAGAGGGGCCTCACTAATAGGCTGTCACTGAGGGAAAAAAAGATGTGGAACAAAGAAGTGAAGTAACAAGAGACTTATTGAGTTTCCTCTGAATTCCTTTCTATTTAAAACATTTTCTCATCTATCATCAAGAGTTACACCTATTACAATGGCAATGAAATGTTAGGGCTTCTAAGACATGCATGCCAAAATGCACACAGAGCAGCTGACTTAATGTTGAGCTTGTAACAATATTTAATTGAATATTTAATTGAGTTAAAGGAATATGCTCGAGTAAAATACATTGCATTTTGCTCTTTCACCTACCATTTATTTGTAGCACTCTTTTTGTTAGTCACGTTGATAAGACAAACATAATTTTCTCTGAAATGTAAATGACAGCGGAATCATTTTCTTTTTCTTTGCACTGGGGATCAAACCCAGGGCCTCATGAGTGCTAGGCAAACCCTCTATCATTATATCCCCAGCCCAGTTGAGCTTTATTATAATATATAACAGCTATAGAGGCCAAAGATGAGTACTTTTATTCCTCTGAAACATAAACCTGAGAGAAGACACTCTCTGAGACCCTAAAGCCAAGCCCCACAAGTGGTCTTTTCTCCATTGGTCTGCTTACTCTTGCTGTATTTATATTTCTTGAAACTTCTGTTATCCAGTCGTGCATAACTTTGTAGAGCTGAACAGCAGTCTAAGAACAGGTTGAAAGAAGACTTGTGTGGAAGCAGCAGGGCAGCAAAGAGTATGTTGTTGAGAATTAATCTGTTGTCTTTGTAGAAAAGACACCAAGCCCCAAGCCAGTCACCTAATGACACTGGATATTATACCACGCTGTCACAGCAGGTGACCAGAAGATCATAAGTATTAGAGAACCATAACAGGTCTGGAGTGGAAGGAGCTTCAAAGTCTACCCTGTCCCACCTTCTTGGCTTTCCAACCCTTGCTTTTAATATATCTGTTAAATGTTCTCGCCTAATATTAGCACAAAGCAATGATGGCAATATTTTGTGCAATTAAGAAAGCATAAGACAAGACTGAGGACAGTACATACAAGAAACTCCCACCCAGAGTGGCAGCTATCCATTAATCAATGAATTCAACACACCTTGGTACTGCCTGGTGCTCCTTTCTAGAACAACCTACGCCTACACCATTTTTGGTGCTCATCAATCTAGTAGTCACGACAATAAAGGAAGTAAAGTTTACCTCACACTTATTCTTAAGCAGCAAATGCTACATTCTAAGATTTACCACCATCACTTTTAGGGACTCAGTGGCAGTTCCTTTGAAAAAAATTCTAGAAATATTGTTCAAGTCAATGTAAAATTCATAAGTCAAAACTTTTCCTACTTCCAAAAACAGTTCCTACTTCCTTATCCCTTCTGAATTCAAGATAAACTACTATATGACTTCAGTAAAAAAAAAAAAAATTCAATGTACTTAACAGCCCCTGTTCACTGAGATAAGAATAAAAGTGATATGTTTTTAAATACTTTCACCAAAAATGGATTAAAATTAGAGCATGTCCCATATGAGGTCACTTCCCTTGTATGGAATATTAGTGAATTTCCCTTGTATGGAAAATGAGAGAATTTTCCAAAGACTCTTTACAGGAAGTAACTGTAGATCAGTGATTGAGATCTACAGTGTTGAGACATGTGGTCCTCAAACCTGTCCTCATACCACCTGTGAACCTGTTACAAAGGTAGAGTCTTGGGTGGGATCGAGCAATATGTGCAGCAGTACGCCTTCCAGTTGATTCTGTGAACACTGAAGTTTGGGAAGCTGAAATAAAATTGAACTATCATGTTCAGTCTTCCTATGGTCCTAACTTAATAGTTGTGATGATGACTAGGATTCTAACAGATAAGCTTATCTGAGCACTTCACTATACACTTAAGCCTTATTCTAAGTACTGTAGGCATTATGCCATTGTATCACTTGATTTTCATTAGAATGCTCATTAGAAACAAAGTATGCTTATTCCCAGGTTTTAGGAGAGAATGAATTGAGGAAAATTAAGTAACTTGCGCAAGGTCAGCCCGTAATTTATGGAGTTGGCATAGTCTAGTTAATACGCACATCCACCCACACGCAGACACACACTCATGCATGCACACACCCCTTTTTTCATTATCATGGCATGCTTCCTTCCTAGAATCAAGAAAAAAGAAAGCTCCCAATTTAAATTTTATTTCCACTTCATAAAATTACTTTTGCCCTTAGGACCTGACATGAAGCATTCCCTTTTGCCCACAGCCTAAGAAGCCAACCATCTGACCCCTTGGCCACATCCTGACCTTCCACTCCAAACATGTCAGAGTTCTAGAGACAAAATCCCCAGGATATTTGAGAGTGATTTTTCTCTCATGTGAACCTGAATCTTGTATTCATTCGCTTTATATAAAGATAGAGCCTTACCATAATTATAAATGATAGTTTCAAAGCATCAAGAAACATTCTAAGGTATGTACATCACTGCAACTCAGAGTGTGGTACCCAGGCCAGCAGCATCAGTCTTATTCTGGGTGTTTTCTAGTGATGCAGAATCTCAGGCACCACCCCAGGCTGCTGAATCAGAACCTTTATTTTAACAAAATCTACAAGGGATTCTATGTACATGGGAATTTGAGAAGCACTGGCTTAAGTAGATACACACACCATTTTACCTGAGGAGACTTGAGGAAATTAAAGGACCCATTCAAGGTCATGAATTTAGTTAAACTAGAACTGACCACAAATTGAATATACTTTTCACCATGTCCCTGAAGCCTTCAATGAGAAGTGCTATAAAAATAATGCTAGCTAAAATCATTGAGAGCTTTTCTGGACATTGTACTGATAACTTTACATAGATTGTCTCATATAAATTGTCATTTACACATCCTGTGAATTCAGTGTTATCTCTATTTTTTCTATTAGGGAAACTGAGGCCCAGAGGGGTTTAAGCACCTGCCCTAAATCATGCAACTTCGACTAGCAAATCCAGGATTATAACCTATGTAACAATCTCTGTCTCTGTCTCTTTCTCTCTGTCTCTGTCTCTGTCTCTCTGTCTCTCTCTTTCTCTCTTACTGCAAGAGAGAAATGTATAAGATGGAGTCATTCTGCTTGATATCTTTTCTTTTTTGTTAATCTCAGTAATAATAGCTCTTTTCTGCAGCTGTCTAGGAAAGAAAGCAGAAGGTCTCTCACCTTCTACTCATCTTTTCATCCCTTATAGCTTTGTTGTCATACTCTCCGGGTCCTCCTTTTCAACCCCTCAGGAGTCCTGGTTTCCAGTCACTGGGATTTGGAGGTGAAGTCCCTGCCTACAGAGTTGGAAAGATCTGTGTGTGTTGGTGGTGTAGTGGTGAGCATAGCTGCCTTCCAGAGTTGGAAAGATCAAGCACTGCTGATCTCCCTCTCAAGAAGCACTCAAAAGGTAAAGAAAAAAAAAAGGTGTGTATAAGAGAGCTATACTGTAGGTAAATGAATTGCTACTTGTGCTTTCTTGAAAATCCAGCATATAAGAGGTTATTTCCAGTAAAACTTTTTTCATTTCGATCAACATAACATCTGAAATGCAACCTAAGAGTAAGTTGGAGACATACTGTGTTATGTTCCGGTATAATTATGAAAGTTCTACTTCTTTATAGCACCTTTAAAAAAAAGTGTCTGAATTTTTCAGAGCAAAGTGATTTTCCTTATGATAAGCTGGTGCATCTCCTTCACATTATGCACACATATTCCACAATCAAAAATATGGAAAAGGCCCAGGTCTAGAAAACACCTAGGTTAGAATATGCTTTTTAAGTTTAAATTTGGGCTAACAAGTAAGCATTATGAGAAAAATATTTCATTTTCACATAGTTTTTCAGAATTCGGCAATGTGTAATGGTCAACTACACATACTTTTGCTAGGGTCATTGTGGAACCTGGCAGTAAGGAGTACTTTAGAAGTGTTGGTATGTGAGTCATATGTAATATCATGCACAGACCTGTAACATTCCCACAGGAAAGTACTCCACAATTTCATTGATATCTGAAAGCAAATACAGACAGACTGTTATTGATATGCTCCACATAGTGTATGCTTATTTGGTGCATTTGTGCACACAAATGGACACACAGATCTTTGATTCTAAATATCTTTTGTTGAACTCCAAGATCTTCAAGGTAAGAACCCTGCCTTATTTATGTTTCAGCTGTTCTTTATTATAACATATTTTCTTAACTTGATAAATGTTTGCCGAGCTGAGTACCACACCTTCACTACATATATTTGGAATTTCAGTTGTGAACTTTATCTAATGGGAAATGGAAAAGATTTGTGGGTTTTGTCAGGGTATAATTTTCAATCTCCTGATTTTTATGATTTTTAAGGGCTGGCCATAATGCTATATAGTTCTCTGATTTTATTTCTTTGTGTTTTTTTTTTAAGCAAAATGAATGAATTGTGATTGAGCCATGGAACCCAGTTGCCTGCATATATAATAGGGCTTTTAAATTAGCATATAAACACAGCTGCGGTTTTTCAGTCTGAAGGCCTCCAGAAACACGCCGATTGCTGGGTGGGGTTATTTGGAGCTCTAAATTTAAGTGCATTATGAGCTGTGACAGACAATCATTCCACCGTATTTAAATTTCTGGGAAACTATAAAACTAGAATGAGTCAAGTTTCTTATCTATGCACAAATCTGAATAAGCTAGTCTAGCTTCTATGTTAAAACTTGACAAATTATACTTCATGGTGTGTCCTTGGTTGTCTCATTTATGAAGTTACTAGAACATTAATGGTCTAAGAGAGTTTATATTTAAATTATCTCATTGTAGAAGTTATTTCAAAAGTCATAGAAATTGATAATAAGCCATGCTTTCTTACATGGTAAGTAATCCCCTGTGGGAAAATAGATGAAAATGTTTATATTTATGTTTATTTATGTCCACATAAACATAAACACAAATACATACTAAAAGTTCTGTGTGTGAACCTTAGCTTAAAAAGCAATGAAGAAAGATCAGATTTAAAATACCAGTTACCCATACTGCATGAGAAAAGATATTTTTATAGAAGCTTATTTAGTAGGTTTGTTAAATTATTAACAAGAAATATGCTCAATGATTTAAACTGTGATTTCATAAGAGATAGCCACTGCTGTCTCTTTAATATTTTTAATATTTAAGAGATCTTTAAAAGAACTAACTAACCACTAACGGAAAACAGAGTTGTATTTCATGTCTTCAGGTTTTTGAACTATTAAATGGCAGTAAATCAAATCAGGAAAGTTTTATTTTGTAAATGAAGTGGAAAATGTCACTGAAGCCTAGTGATAATTCAATGAATTAAATAGAAAATTTGAATTAGAATCAAAGTTGTCATTTGACCTTTTTTGGTCTTAAGGCAAGTTGGATTTAAAAGGAGGAGAGTAGCAAAAGTCAGGACTTGCTAACCTGTACTTATAAAGTACCTACTCTGTAGTATAACCTCAGCAAATTATGAATTCACGTTCTTTTCTCTGGGTAACCAACATTGTTATGGATTATTTTCTTCCATAATCACTTAAGAAATTAAATTTAAACACTGTAGTTAACGCAGACAACACTGAGAAATAAACAGTATTGCAACAGACAAAACCAGAATAGGCAACCTGTCCCTTGATCCCAGGTAGACTGGACTGGCGATCATAGCAGTGAATGTTTTGATTGTCCTACCACCAAAAAAGTTTATAACTGAGAATCAATTATTTTTAATTTAGTAGGAGTTTTGTTTTCTGTTTCCTTCAAAGACGTCATATTTACTACTAGCATTTTTTCATACCACTTTGTTAATGCAAACAGTCATAAAAATTTTACCTTTTTTTTGCAGCTAATATTTGATTTTCCATGAGACAAATATATCAAATACATAACAACCAGAAAAAGCATCTTTTTTCTACTGGTTTCATTCAATCTAACATTAGCAAAGAAAATCATTATAAGAATGTTTTGTGTCTTCAGTAACCAATCAGGTATAATCAATACCTCATCTGGAACTGGATGAAGTTATAGGGTCACCTGGTGGGAACCCTCCAAACTGAGATTCCCAAGATGGAAACCACTAACATCAAACTGTTATAATTGTCCAAAATGAAACATCTGTGGATACTCTGTCTTTGTAGAAACTGGATTGTCTCTGAATATCTGCTTTCCCTCCTTCCATGGTAACACAATTGTCTACCAGCCCATATGGCTGCCCAAAAATGAAAACTTCATTTCCCAGCATTCCTTGCAGCTTCCTAGGGCAGGTGAATACATTTTAGTCAGAAGTGCTGGGTGGCTGCCTCTGGGATATTTCCTTATGCATTGTTTTTATTTTTCATTTTTCCCCTTCCTCTGCAGGCTAGAACATTTGGAAGATGGTCAGAACTGGAACATCCATTTTTGGGGGTCCCAGAAAGAGAGATTGCTCCCAGAGCAGCAAAAAGGGCAGATAATCTAACATTTCGTGGAGAAGAGTCTTGTACTTTAGATTTCTAGACATTTGAATGAGAGAAGATGCACACAAAAAATGTCTTTGTCATTTAAGCAATGTTTAGTTTTCATTTTTCTATCACTCCTACTCAGACCCAGTCCTAATTCCTAGACTGTGTGCCAGAGCCTGGCACACTGCCTGACCTGCAGGGATGTTTGGAACATGCCTGAGCAATCTAAGAGGCATTCCTGACACTTTTTCTTCCCTCCTTAACTAACACAGCTTTGGGTCCTATTGGTTTTATCTCCTGGTATTGCTCAAATCTGTGCACTTATCTTTCTGTCCCTTCACCCATATAAACTAAAGCTCTTGTCTTGTCTTGCCCAGATGATACTGGTTTTCTCTGCTCACCTATCTGCAGTTTTGCTTTCCACCACTTCAGTTACCCATGGTCAACTGTGGTTTGAAATATTACATGGAAAATTTAAGAAATAAAGAAGGCATAAATTTTAAATTGTGGCCATTCTGAATAGCATGATGAAATCCCTTGCTGCCCCACTCCTTTCTGCCTTGGATATGAATCATCTCTTTGCCCAGGGTAACGACACTGTGTATGACACCTTCCCACTAGTTGTTCATTAGGTGCCTCATGTATTAGATCGACTGTCACAGCACTCTAGTGCTTGTGTTCATGTTATCCATGTTTTACTTAATAATGGGCCCCAAACATGAAAATAGTGATGTTGGCCATTTTATTACATTATATTGTTTAGACTATATTGTTATATTTTATGACTATTGTTTTAAATATCTTACTGTGCCTAATTTGTGAATTAAATTTTATCATAGGTATGTATGACTCAGAAAAGCTCAAAGTAGTATATATTAGTATCTTCTGAGGTGTCAGACATTTACTGGGGTTGGGGACTCTCAGAATCCATTTCATATGGATCAGGAAAGATTGCTGGACTTAGACCATCTGAATGGTCTACCAGCGCATACCCCTTTCCATCTAAGATGTACTTTTGTTTCTTTTATGAGAAAGACCCTGTGTTGGTTACTTTTCTCTCATTGCTGAGATGAAATACCTGACACCCACAATTAAGGAAGGAAAGGTTTATTTAGCTCACAGTTTGTGGAGGTTTCAGTCCATAATCAGCTGGCTCCAAGGCAGGGTAGCACATGGCAGAGGGCAACAGTTCATGGCGACGGAAGACAGCAAAAGCAATAAGAGCAAAAGGGAGGAGCAGCAAGCAAGCCTCTTTCCCTCCCTTATGTTGTATGCAGGCGACTTGCCCCATGGTGGGTGTAGCATTCACACCCATATTCCCATTGGACCATGAGTGTAACACTCACACCCATAATCCTATTGGGCCATGAGTCAATCAAAAACTCTAGAAGCCTGCCCCATGACTGCACGAGGCTTTGTGGGGGACATCTAGACACAAACCATAATAGACCCCACATGGGGTTTTGACATATCCTATAGGCCTCATTTCTCTGGTTTCTTTGCATATTATTTTTCACCCCCACTATCTGGGATTCTTATTTTCCATCCCGCCTCTACTCAGAATCTTCAGACCTCCCCTGACCTCTCCTTTAGGAACGATTTGCCTCTCTGTAGAGCATTTCCCATGGATTCTTAACAGTACCACCTACTTTTCTACATGTGGATTTAGCACACTGTCTCTGCTGTGAAATTGTAAGCCCCAAGGAGGCAGTCACTGTAAGTACTTTGCATATGCTATATCCCCTGCATCTAGCTTGCTGCCTGGTAGGGGCCGTGAGAGGTACTTAATAAATACTTGCTGAATGAGTAGGTGGTCTTGCAAAATCCATTGTTAGAATCTGGAAAGCCAGTGGGCTGACAATGCCTAAGGCTTAAAAGATGGAAAGAGGGAGAAGGTAGAAAAGGAGTAGAGGATGGACACAGAGAAATGTCAGTTGCCACAGAATATATTTATATTTACCTTAGAACAACCAGGAGCTCATAGAATTAACCAAATTCTAAGATAAACTTATTTGAAGGATTGAATGGACTCTGGGTTTGAAACCCATTGCCTTCCCATCCTTATCTCAAATTTGAAATGTAATAATTAGATTAGCAGTCCTCAGTGATTCAAAGCCTCCTGGGGGTTCTCTAAGATGATTTTGGGGGATCCACCAAAGCCTCCCTATTCTAATCTGGATGAAGTAGGATTTTCTTCATACATTTCAACCCAAACAGCACATGGCAAAAGCTTGAGTGAAGAAGCACTTGTAAAATTCCAGTTGTCTTATTATTAAACTAGACATTAAAGAAACTTGCAAAAGTGCAAAACTCTTTTGACTACTTTTATTGTTTTTGTAATTAGAGTTATTCTTAATAAAAATGTGTTCTTTACCAGGTAATTCATGGGTCCCCTACCTGAGGATCACAGACTTGTACCGATGAAGGTAAGCAAGGAAAGTTTCATTTGTATTTACAGCAGCTCACTATCCCTTGAGTTACATCTGAGCTCTGCTTACTTTCAGATCATCAGGGCATTAAATTCTTGTAAGAATGTGAATCCTACTTTTAACTGTGCATTTGAGGGATCTAGGTTGCTCACTCCTTTGAATCACGCTGAACCCATTCTCTCCCACCTCCATTTGTGCAAAAATTGTCCATGAAACTGCTCACGTGCACAAAGGTTGAGAATGGCAGTGTAATTGTCTGTCATCACTATTTTTAAGTGATTTAATAAAAACATTTAAACATTTCTGTTTCTATTATAATACCATTGGTGCTACTGGTGGACATACTCCACCATACCAAAGCTGTTTGGTGTCTTCAATACTTTTGAGAGTGTAAAGCCATCCTGAGACTAAAATATTTATGAACTGCTACACTGAAGAATCACCTTCTGGTTTAAGACTAGATCTTCTCCTGAATTGCAAATAAGTCAGAAGACAGTGGTAGAAAGAACTGGGACCCGAGCTTGGTAGATGTAGGCTGGAAAGCAGGTGCTGCCATTCGTGTGAACTTGGGTAAGTCAGCTAGCTTCTGGGAGTCTGTTTCCGCCTGTCTAGTTTCCAGATAAGAATACCTCAGTGCATTATTCTGAGAATAAAACAAAACACAGCAGAGTACTGGACACAGGAGCTATGTGTCTAGTATGCAGAAATATTCATTCGTATTTAATATTAATAAATTACACATTGGCGTGAGTTTGAAAGAAAGTTTTGAACAGCTTTTAAGGGGAGATGTGGTAAAATTTCAGTAACTAGCTCTCTGAGAAAAAGAGCTCTGCTTTCCAGCATTTGCTGATTTTCACTGTGCAAATACTCTCACCTGGGCAGATTTCACTGCCAGTGCAGAAGAGACTGGTTCAACTGAGCTCTTGTGAACACACAGGAGCCGCTTCAGCACACAGTTTTCTCGGTTCTTTTGTGGGATAGGGAAAGAGGATATATATGAGGTAGGAAAACAGCTTGGGGCCCGAGAACAAAATTCATACTAATTCAGTATTTTGTCTCTAGTCCATGTTTAGTTCCCAGTTTTCTTTTACTTTGGATGGAATCTTTGAATCAAAGATACCATAAAGACCTGGGCATCCAAGTCATCGGCCAGAGGCTTTTGTAATTCTACAAGTTAAGTAATATTTGGTGATACTCTGCCTGGAAATCCTAGTTGAAATTAGGCAGAGGGCATACTAGCCTAGTTTAAATGTCCCAGGGAATAGACATAAGACTGTGAAATGATTCTGCGGGCCAGGTTGGGTCTCAAAGGGTGGTCTTTTTTTTTTTTAATTTTAAAAAAGAAGGAAAACATTAACAAACAGACAACCATTTACAAAATAGCAAAAGAACAATACAAACAATACAGAGTTACAAACAAAGTGGTAGGAAATTAACAATGCTTGT